AATACAAGGTACACGAAGCAGAATCATGCATCAAAATGCAACCAATTCGGGAGCGCGAGAAGAAGAAGAGGACACAAAGATGGAGATATCAGAAGAAGTCAAAGACCAAACTCTTACTTTAAGATCTTTAGTTGTCTTCTTCTAATTACTATCGCCGGAAGATGCACAAGATGCTCTCTAGATGGTAGGTTTTGATCTCTCTCTGTTCTTCATCAATTTCGTCATACCACAATATTCTTCGTTCGCATTATAGATTTTGAGAAAGTGATTTGAATCGATAAAGACCAGTGAGACAATGGTTGTGGTGTCAGAGAAGGAAACAAGATCAAAGACGGAGGAGAGTGGCGCTTCACCGGATAAAAAGTGAGATCTCAGGCGGCTTGGGCTGTGGATTGACGATTGAGATGAAGGGGACGGTGTCGGATCGTCAGAGAAGAAGGTGGAGAAATCTTGTGCGCTGCCTAGTGATTGAGTGAAGAAGAGTTCATGGCATTTTAATGGAATCATATCAATTCCCCTTGGACCGGATCATCATCAGCCTTAGGTCCATTGTTATATTTTGATACTTGTGGATTGTGCATAAAAAAAAGGGCTTGGACTATGCACCGGTGGGCTCAGCGCCCCATCCTGATTCACCATCCTGATTTCCAGTTTCACCCCCTCTATTTAGAGTTTGTTTAGATTTTTCTTTATTCTTATTTTCTTAATTTCTAGATAATAACATTAGGAATAAAATTGATGTAATCATTAATGATTTGTTAGTACTTTTATTTGATTTTAGGAATTAAATAATGATTATCCGATTACTTGAGATTTTGTAATTCACATTTGCTTGTTGAGATTTGAGTCTTATGCAGGTTTATTGTGTGATATACGGATATGTTTGAGTTTCCGATTGTGATTTATTTTCACATATATGACGCTTCGACACTTATTCTGAACACTTGATGTCTGACTCTTATCTGTTGCTTGGTGATGTTTACTCAAAGTTTTCTGAGTTTCTCTGATTTGCTTGCTTTTTTACAAACTTTTGTTTGTTTGGTATCATTCCGACTCTGGTTTATTTTTCCGCACTTTACTTCTTTTCTAGAGATCATGAGAAGTAGGAAATAAAGAGCGTTCACTCGAAGTCGCTATTTAAAGACCTGTAGTAAGCATTTTACACTTATTTGTTATGTGTGTTTGTGCTTATGTTTGTTTCCTTTGTGGACGATCGACCGTGTCACTCAATTAGAATTGAGAAAATGACTTTGATCTTTGCATGCTCCCCATAGGATTTCATGGTTTATTTATTTTGATGATTGATGATGTCACTCAATTAGAATTTAGATAACTACTTCGATCTTTGCATGCTCCCCTTAGAATTTTATCGTTTTCCTTTATTGATGATCGATGATGTCACTTAATTAGAATTGAGATAACAAATTATATCTCATTGCATGTTCCCTATAGGATAGTTATCCTCGCCCTTAGGTTTTAGGTAAGCTAACTTAGGTAAGAATTTCCTTTATGTGTGCTCTCTTGAGCTTGTTGATTACTTGCTTTCCATCCTTGTGTACATTACTTTTTAGGTTGTGAACCTTTGGCATGTTCCCTTAGGATCTCTTGATTCACCCTGTGGTGGTGATTCGAGATAGACATAAGTTTAGGTTGTGAACCTTTGCTATGCTTCCTTAGGACTTCTCGTTTCAACCTTTGGCGGTGATTCAAGATAGATATTAGGATTGTTATCCATGCATGCTAACACAGGGTATATATTTCCCTTTCAAAACTCGACCTTAGGATAAATCACTGTATGATAACATTAGGGATTAAATTCTAGCTAGTTTCCCCTAGATATTTTTCTTTCTTTTACATCCTTGCATTGAGACTAAAACTCTTTTATTGGAAAATGCATAAAACGTCTAACACCTTTCAAATCCTTCTTTAAGGTAAAAAACATCAACCAATGTAAACTTTTTCTGCCTTCGGGCCTTTCTTCGGAACTTCAAAAGGATCTGTTAATTCTACTCTATGTAACACGACGCGTAAATCCCCAAAGGTCGGGTGGCACTATGTCTAAATTGCTAGAGCACGAATGTAGTATTATCTTCCTTCAGGCATTTTTCTTTGCAAATACCTTGTTAGGTAGAACATGTTAATTCACTTCTATGCTGATGCGTGAGTCTCCAAAGGTCGAGCTTCGGCAGAAGGTGAAATTAATATTGTTCATTAAAAAAAACACAAAACAAACCGAACATGTGAGCCGAACTACGACGCTTTGATTCCTTAAAAGGGATACGTAGGCATCTGGTCGCGGGGCTTAGCCGAGATAAAATTTGTAAATATTTATTTCTTTTTCCCATGTTTTCTTTTGCATGCATTCCCTCTTTGCATTTTTCTTTTAGCTCTTAAGCTTTAGATTGAACACACTCTTTGATTAGAACAACAAGAGTGGATACCACAAAGTACTACAGGCGTGTGGGGTGCTAATACCTTCCCCCCGCGTAACAGACTCCCTTACTCATATCTCTTGGTCGTTCGACCTTGGTTTCACCCTTACCAGGTTTACTCGATGTTTACCTTTCCCTTCCTATGAGATAAAAAAATTTCAATGATGACTTTATCGATTTCATCTCGATGATTTGTTCGGCCGGTTGTTTCAAGTGGTGACTTCACTGGGGAACTAGGTCGACCAATTGCTGGTCCATCTCGGAGTTTCTCCTAGCTCTTGTTTTCTTTTCTTTGGGTGTTTATTTTTATTCTTTCAGTTTATTCATATGTACATTATTTTTTGAGCATATGTTTGCATTTCATTTTACCTCTTTCCGTATTGGTTATCTGGTGTGCTGGATTCTGGTTTTCCATGTTGGGTGGGTGTTACTATTAAGGTAAAAGGCCCAGTACCCAGGCTAGAGTGCACTATCTAGGAAACCTAGGAAAAGAGTAGAACATGACGGCTATTGGATGAAGGTCCTACCAACGCGATCATGTCGTCTATGCTCAGATGAGGTTCAAATGGGGTGTTATCGTCATCCACATTTGTGGCTTGATGGTGGTGTTTTCAGGTGAACCCATGATTTTGAGTTACCACTGGCTTAACCTGGCCTAGTCTTTACCCGTGAGTGGGGAAGGGATAACCTTTACAGGTACCGATGGTGACTTTGTTCTGATGGTGACCTTGTTTTGTTGGTGACCGTATGTTCTGTTGGTGACATGGTTTTCTTTGGTTATGCTCCAGACCTTTGAACCTGATATATTCAACTTGCCCCCGAGATTATACAACGGTTATTCATGGTACTCAGAGTGGGAATTCTTATTCAGGCCCAATATTCTTTTCAGAACTGTGAATCTTGACTTTTAACTGCTCCACGATCTGAAAAAGCCATGGAATAACTTTGTGGGAAATTTAGTGAGATAAAAAATCAGATGGGGCTATTTATTGGTATGCATGCAAGCAATGGCCCGTAGTCAGAAATCCTTAAGGGGGAAAAGATAACCAATTGAAGATTCAGTTGAGTTGGGTATGGAAATTCTAAAGGCAATGTCATCAAAGGATAGTGATCCTATATATGTTGTTGCAACAGAAGCTGTCATTCATCCACAACCTATGGGACATTTTTTAAATGGAGAGATACTTTGTGGGTCTCACCAAAAACTTTGTTGTAGCGGTAGAAATGTTGATACTAAGCCATTGGATTGACTTGACTCGTACATATCAAATAAAAATTGCCACAATGCTTTATTGTTTCCAAAGGAATGAGAAAAGAGCGAATAACCCAGAAGAGGTGGAGAGAATCTAAGTTCGGGGGTTGGTTATGCAAAGGGAAGGTATTAGCACCCTAAACATCTACAGTACTCCACAAGAACATCTTTGAAAATATGTATGTTTTGGCTATAAAATATTGTATAAAAATAGATGGTGGAGATAAGGAAAGAATTTTTTTTAATAATTTTTGCATTCGCCGCGGTTGTGAACCTTTAGTGCCTACGTACCACATTTCCATGCAATAGGGGATCAAGGCACACGTAATTCACCTTTTAAAAATTTTAAAACACAAGTGTGTTGGTTAATTTTAAGAGACAAGACATCATCGTCTTATCCGAGTGGAAGAACATACTTACTACCCACGATTATGAGAAAGGAGAATTTGCGTCATCTCGAAGTGGAGGATATGGCTTGGATTTTAAAATCGACAAAGTATAACTCAACACCCAAGTGGAAAATATCTCACTTCACTATATATCGTAGAAGTATAGTAGCTCACATCACTATAAGGATTGACAAGAGTCTAATCTTTTGAGAAAATTTTAAAGTAAAAAGCCAAAATGGCAAAATGGTTTGAATTAGATTGATTAACTTTTAATCTTATCACAAAAATGTCAAGGTATTGTTAAGTTGATTAAAGCTTGATTAAGAAAATATTTTTGAAAATGCATGGACCTAAGTCCAAGTTTATTATGAAAGTGGTTCAAGTTTAAAACAAGAAGAGTTTTCAAAAGCAGAGAGATGGTTTTTGAAATTAAAGAAGATGGGAGGAGATGAAGGGACTATCCTAAAGCATAAGATAAAAGCTATAGAAAAGAACCGTCTAACCAACAAGAGGCCAACACTTAACACAATGAGTCAATGCAGAATTCCCATCCTTTGGATTTGAAACCAAAAAAACAATCATAAAAAAGGACCCCTTAAGGAAACCAAACTCCATTTGTATTAAGTCTTCCCAAAATTGAGAAGAGTAACAGTTGTACACAGATAAATTCCAGATCACAGACAAAGCATGTAATCATAATAACCTGCACACAAAATAAACAAGCAACCAAATATCTTGGGATAAACCCCAAGAACTCCAGACAAAATAACAGTTGAAGTTACAAAGTCTCCAGAATGGGTCAAGGCTTCTAATCCTAAGTCCAAGAGGTCCATGACTCCATAATGCAAAGGATAGTAACCAAGTAGTCCAAATAACTATAAAATTTTTTAGGATTCAAGTTGATTATTAAGTATCTTCAAAAAGTAATGAAAAGCTCAATTGAGCAAAATAAGAAAGACATAAAAGATAAATGCTCAAATGAGCAAAGATGAAAATAACATGCAATGTAAATGCTAAGGCAAATGATACATAAAGTAAAAAGCATAAAGTAAAAGACATAAAATAAAGTCAATTGTTAGAAATTAGTGGATAGTTGAATGACCATCTTGAAACTTGTATTTGGAACTCATTAGAGGATTGGTAGAACCAAAGCCTCTCAACAATAAGTTACATTTGCTTTTTGTCAAGTATATCATCCATTTAAGAATTCTTAAGGCAACATTAAATGATAAATGAAGTTTAAGTGATTTATTTTGACCAAAATTGATGAAGATTCATTAGAGGATTGGTAGAACCAAAGTCTCATAACAATGAATCTCAAGGTTATTGGATCAAAGGGTTCAAATCAATATAGTTGGGCTTGCAAACATGGGTTTGGGCCACGAGTGATCATTATCTAAAATTGGGACAGAATTTAGCGCCATGTTA